GGGAAATTGAGCCGATTTCGCGAGACTGTGGAGTCCCCTAACGTCCTTTAAGGATGGTTCACGAGACCTCCCCGGACTAAACCGCCGGAGGTTAGGGAGTTCACCGTCGCTTCGACTTTTGTTCTCCGAGAAATGTACAGAAGACTATTATCATGGTTGTTGACTCGTCTGTCAGAGAGTACCATGTACAGTCGAGTGTCCTTCAGGCACTGACGTACTGAGGTCTGAGTAGATTAGTGTGTTCTTTACCGTGTAAATTGAGCTTCTTTGCTTTGGTGACACCTCCTTCTATTATAACTTCCGAACTACGAAGCGACAGCAGACTACGACTCGGTACGTCTTAGCAAGAGCATAGTGAGTTAAGTCGTAAGCTCAATTACATTGTATCGCGTTTTTTACGCATTAAATCTTTAATATGAAGACTATAGGACAAAACGGGGTGTGTTCAGGCAAACCAAGAGTTTATACACTTCCGAGTCTTACAACTCTACTTCCGTTGAGTTGTCCGAGTAACATAAAAGCTTTGTTTGGCTAGGCAAACTCCGGGAAAGACTTGCGGTCTCGTACAGAAAAATTAATCTCACACAAAGGACGGCGTCCTTTCTGGTTTTGTTTGTTCGATTTGATTTATTATAGTGTAAAGTCTAAAAGAAAGTCTAAAAAAAATGTTAAAACTATAGTAGTATTTGCATCCATAGAGTGTTCAGAAACTCAATGTATATTTGGTAAATTTTACTGACTTCCGGACTGTTCTTCTACTAATTTTAACAAAATTTATTTAGTACATAATGTCCTGCGATTACAGGGCAGAACAAATGGAGAGTACCCGCGAAGTGTGGTTCATGAACGGCATGAATCAAGTAGTCTTGAGAATCAAGAGTACTGATTCATGTCTTCAGTAGCGCAAGTGTGCTTATCAGACTCCCTCCTATCAGTTTACTTCGTCGACTGCAGTGAACAAGAAGGAAGACCGAAACCCAATGCTTCGTTCTTTTTGGCGTTTTGTTGAAGTGCCGCTATGACGTGGGCTTCAGGCCCCTTTAGGGGGTCATCTTGACGACCTGAGCGGTCGTCGAAGATGCTTCGGAAGGCTCATTTAGCCGTGTCTTGCGATGCTGTGGCAGGGTAGAGGTGGCGAGGGTAGCAAAGAAACACACGGTATTCATCGGAGAGACGCAACTACGCCGCGCCCGTTTACGATGCATTAGCGATTATGCTGCGTTATTTTACGGGCCGGGAAGTGTTCTCTGGATAACCTTAAAATGCCGCACGGCCAACGTAGGTCGGGTCCGGTTAGTCTTGACTTTGAAAGGGAGCGAGAGGGATCGTCCCTGACCTTTTCCCCCACTTTTCCAGAGTAAGCTTTCTTTTGATTTTAACGCATCAAGGCCGTACAAAACCACACTTCGTCGTATTAGCCTGATTGAGCCCTGACTGAGCCACATTTTCGCGGATAAGTAATGTCATAATCTAATATTTTTTGTAGCGTTTTTAGGATAGATAACACTAAATTTTTCAAGATTTCCTTGAGATCTAACTTAAAGACGTCTTTGCCGACGTCAAACTCGCTTGTCCGCAAAGTAGAGACATGCTCGTTCAGAACTATTTGTCAATTTGGATCGTTGGACGTTTGCTCTCGTTATTCGGACTCTAGTGTCGGGACGAGTAAATGTGTGTGTGTGTGTCGTGTGTGGTGTGTGTGTGTGTGTGTGTGTGGTGTGTGTTGTGTGTGCGGTGTGTGTGTGTGTGTGGTGTGTGTGTGTGTGGTGGCAGCGGTGTGTGTGTGTGTGTGTGTGTGTTTGTGTGTGTGTGTGTGTGTGTGTTGTGTGTGTGTGTGGGGTGCGCCTCTGTGTGCCAGTGTGACGGCGTACAACGGTCCAGGAGTGTTTACCGTGGTTTATCCTAGGGACAACTTAGGTGGAGACGACAAATACTGCCAAAAATCGTGTACCGACTAAGAATAACAGGCCACCACACGTAAGGTCTAGGACACACAAAGACCATTCTCCGGGGGGGTAAGAATATTGTAAGGAAAAAAAAAAAGACACACACCCAAAGGGAGGGAACATCAGCCGACACATATGTCCAAAACACGTACATTTAACAGACCGTTTACGATTTTTACGGCGACACATCCGGCGGGGGGTGTGGGTGGGGGGGGAAACACTTGTAATTGCGACCTTTGTACATGTCATCTCCGGTCGTTTGTCGGTACTTCGGACTTGTATATTCTTTTATAGAGTTCGGAAAGTCCAGATATTAACTTAGTTCTGGGCGAAAATTTCATCTTCGTACAGCGCTTTCCTTACTTTCTTTCAAAAGCAGGTTGCGTTTTTTTTTCGTTGTAAATAACTATTTTGTTTTCTTACAAGCTCGTACTTTCACACCGTTCGTTTTTTTGTAAGCCATAGGTTGTACAGAAATTGTGCCTTGTATAAACAGCCCAAAGTGCGTACTGTTTGAGACTCCTATTGGTTCAGTTCTTACCCTCGACACACTTTGTTGACTATTGTACGTCGTCACATGGGGTTCAGAGGGGCCGCAACTTCTAGCACGAGAACTGTGCATCAGAAGAAATGAAACTGTTCTTCAAATGAGCACGTCTGATGCATTGCTTTCATTTGACATGACTTTGTAAAGCTTAATTCTGCATTACTCACAATGGTTGTACTTGAAGATTCACCTTGTTTCCTTTGATAGCAATTATTTTAAAGGTCCCATGTCATGGCCATTTCTACTGATCATAATTCCATTGTTGAGGTCTACTAGAATAGATTTACATTGTTCAATGTTCCAAACTCACATTGGTTTCTCATACAGCATCTCTGTATAGTATGTGTATTCACTTTCTGTCCTACACGGCTTGTTGGAGCTCCTGCCCCCTCCCTGTGAGCCCAGTGTGCTCTGATTGGTCAGCTCGCCCACTCTGTTCT